TGTGCGTGCAATAATAAGTCAGAGAAACCGTGATTTTTTTTACAATACCGTGGCACTGTGTCACGACTGACAATGAGAGTTTATATAAATTTTCTGGATGAATTTAATGACACTTGGAGATTGCTGCTACGTTGAAAAATTAATCTCTCAGTACATTCTAGTAAACGAGAAGTAAAATGAAGCGAAAGTCCACAAAGTTTTTGTATAAATCAAAAATTACTTTGTTTCATTATTAAAAAAAATTTGCCTCTCTTAATTTCTCTTATATGGCAACCGCACAAGTGCAAACTGCACCGATGCCGAGAAGGCGAAAAAATACGTGGGAAAAAATGACGCGGAAAGTGAGACATATCGCTTTCGTGTTGGGGCTGAATTCTTCCTGGCGCCAATGGCATACCCTCTTTGCCGAATCTCCCTTTCTTTCTCCGTGTTTACGATTTACGAGTTCCTTCGACATTCGAACGCAGGCGGGGAGGAAGCGAGGACAATCGTTGACGTAGCTAGCCGCAAAGCTTCGCCCTCATATGCAACCACTTGAGTGTCTTTTTATAAGCGCCTCTCTTCGTATTTCACGCTGGCATCACCGAGTGCCGATTTGCCGCCTCCTTTCCACCCTGTCAAACTGTGTTGCCATGACAATCTGAAATTTTGCACACGTAAAACAAAGCCAAAATTAAATGCATCTTCATAGCTTAATACTTGCAGTTCACGAAATAGAGAAGATAAGAATCGGCATAAGAGACAATAATTGTTCGTAATATATGATACATAAAGACTAAATCTATCGCGGAAAACGACGAGATAATTTACTTATAGAAATAGACTTCAAAATTTTTGAATTAATTGTGCAACCGAGAAAGATACGATTCTGAAAGTTTAGTTAAAGAAGTTACAATGCAGAGGCAAATACAGTGGCAAACGACTATTTTAGCTATAGGATAATTTATAACGTGCCAAAAATGAAGTCATACGAAATCAGTTACACAAAAGAAATACATGAAGTCCTTATTTGAGACAGTACCTGCGAGCAAGATTATTATCTCAACGAAAGTCGTTCCCTGCGTTAAAAAAATCTCGCGAACATAAAACTCGGGGGTAGTAAAGTTCCTCCACGTGCGCGCCAGATATCCTTCGCCAGGATACGTTCTCCCTGCATCTTGGGCCGCGTGCCGAGAAAGCATTTAGGAGCCACAGAGGCTTTCGTGGCTCCATTGTCCTAGCGCCTCCGGTTACACTTTATTGCATGGCGCGATGGCAGCGCGCGACGCGTGCTCTGCTCGACGTCGCCGAAAAGGAACATCCTTCGGCACCCTCTTCTCACGGAGGTCACTTGGACGCAAATCGTCCGGGGAGGTCGGCGCCAAGTCGCCGAGGCTATTTTGCCCCGAGTGATCCGGGATCGGTTTCGTACATACAAGTTCCGACGGCGCGGCCTCGTGTTGTCGAAATTGGAGAACGCGCGACGGAAGCGAGTCGCGACAGCTCGCAGTCTTTTCCGCTTCCGTTCCTCTCGAACTCGCGCAATTTTTCAAGCTGATTGAACCTCTTTCCCAAGTGATCTGGCTAACGGATTTTTCACTAAAGTCGAGGCAACCAGAATTTTATTAACAAAATTACCGAGTATTTTAATCGGTAAAATATATAAAGGTGGATTTTAAAGCACACTGTGGCGCGTAAATCAGTGAGTTATATATAACCATATTTAATTATTAATAAAATACATAACTGTAAATTACACGTTTCGACCCTACTTTGAGTCGAATTAACTAAATTATAAAATATTTTTGTCCTACATTTTAAATTTATATTATATTATAATTCCTACATTTTGTTGTATACATATAGACTGATATTTTAACATAGAAATCTCTTTAAGTTGCCAGTAATAGATAACAATAATCAAGTTTTTTAGTCGACATTAACCGGCCAGTATTGTTAATACAGAAAGTTTATTGCGAAAAATATTACGTCAACCAGGATTTGAACCTGGACTTCCCTACTCTCTAGGCGGGCGTTTCACCAAGTCGACCACTGAGGCATGCAAAAACATTTTCTGTATTAAAACTACTGGCCGGTTAATGTCGACTAAAGAGCTTGATTATTAATATTTTAACAGTTGATAAAATTTATTAGGCCGATATCTAATAAATACAAAGAAATATATAGGACTAAGAGCCACAGGATGTTAGTGTCTAAATAATAGCTGAGATAATATTTGACGCAATAAATTTAAAATAAAATTATCTAGACACTAACATCCTCTCTCTCTCTCTCTCTCTCTCTCTTACAATTAGTCCAATATATTCCTTTGTGACTAATATTTTACTTAGTCACTTTAGTCATCAAAGTTTATTGCACGGTTTTTATTCTAACTATAACGGGGGATTACAGAAATTAATTAAAAGTTTGCGAATCGTGTTGATATTTCACAATAAAAATCACATGAATTTTCATAATACTCCTGTGATACAACTTTTACCTATTTATCCGAAACGGAATACACAAAGATAGTCGGAAAACTAACCCCCACTTTACCGTGTAGCTTAATTACGATAAATCGAGGGCACGCGCCTATAACACTAAATATACTATCTGTCGCGGGACCACACGGCTCTCTCGCCGATTCATTTACGCGTCTCATTGTGCATGCTAATAATGCGTGAAAAAAAAGAGCGAGTGAGGGAAAGAGGGCGCGGGGGAAGAATAGGCAAATGTCTCCCTCCCTCGCGGCAACAGCCGTAGTTACATTTTCATTGCGGAGAAAGGACGGTCGCGCAGATGTCGGCCACTTGCTACCCCGAGGATGACGATCCGGATGAAATCTATTCCTTCTGTTCGTCGCCACGGGGTGCCATCACGGGGCCAACGCGTTTCGCTACCGTGCCCTGCGTGCCCCGTGGTTGGCGCAAGCCCCTCATATTCACGCAACGCGCCGTCAATTCTTCCGCAATTACGAAATGCATTCAGATGTGGACGCGCCTCCGCCAGCAAATGTGCAATCCAGCCGATTGATCTGGCGTTAACCCTTTAACGAGGGAATAAATGCCCGAGAAAAAAATGGAAATGTCTCATATATGTCTCAATCGTGTAACATGTAATTATATTCAATTCTAAAATCGTCAGATCTTCAGAGATCTATCTGACACTTTTATTGAATATTCAATGTTGTTATCTAGTGAGATCTAATTATGTTCTCTTAGGACATTTAATTGTAGATTTGGGTAGATCTCAATAGATAACGTCGAACATTCAAGGAAAGTGTCAAATCTCTGAGGATCTAATGATTTTTAGAATTGGACCTCATGAAATAGAATTTATTTTAATATCATTAACAATCGATTATAATTTCTATAATCGATCGATTTTTAATTAAAAAGAACACGTGTATTATATTTCTTCAGTATGCAATGTGTCATATTTAAACTTACAACTTCTTGCATTCGAAATATGTGAAAAAACACATCTCAATTTTGTTGATCGACGACTCCAAGGAACTTTCGTGCACTTTTGTTGAATTGAATTTAACTGCGTATTGGACCTTTTCTGAAAAATCACACTTCCCTTTCCCACGATAGCAAAATGCGTCCCCGGGGTGTCTTTCGCATGCGTTACGGTTGCGCTTATGTCACCCCTTCGCCCACCTAATGATGCCATCAAATTCTCACGTACATACACTGTAGCTGTTTTCTCATCCCTTCGTTTAAATGCTCGATCGCGATTTCAAAGGCCGCTCTCACGTCGAACGGCCGAGATAAGTGTATAAAAGTCAGGTCCTTTTCTTCTCTTCGTCTCATCTTGATTGAGTCGCGGTATCGATTACTTCTATAGAACCTGCACAGACTCCGCATTGTTTTCTCGGTTTACTTTCAGACCGTTAAGCCGCGCTCGGATGCGTTTGGACGGGTCGCTCGCTCGCTCAAAGGGTACAATACGTGTGAACGGAGGGAAATGTGAGAGATAAAGTAGGCCTAAGTAAACAACGACACGGGTTATTGGTAATGACCTTTACTTCGGAATTGTTTGATTCACCGGGCCAATTCGAAACGGCACTTGTGAACGGGTTTCGTTAAGATACTCAAGTTTGTACTTTTATTAGCAAATAATTAACAATTGATATATTTTATTTAAGTAGATAATATACGCGCGAAATAAACAAAGAAGTAATATCTTTTCAGAAGATTGTTACATTCTTTAAAAAAGTATATAATTTTACCACAACACTAAAATAATTCGAAATGCTAAAATATTCAATAAAGACAAGAGGTTTATGAGAGAGTTGAAGAGAAAATAGGAATATAAACTGGCTTCTTGTCTTGTTTATATATAATTCATAATTTAAAAAGAACAAAGCTGTATATTTTAAATAATTCCTAAATTATTTCCTTACTGTGAAGTAATATGCGTGCTTTAACACTCTCTCTCTCTCTCTCTCTCTCTCTCTCTCTCTCTCTCTCTCTCTCTCTCTCTCTCTCTCTCTCTCTCTCTCTCTCTCTCTCTCTCTCTCTCTCTCTCTCGCTCGCTTACTAGCAATTAAGTACCAATTTAATATGATTATTATTGTGACAATAAAACAGTATGAGATATTGTTTTTTAACACTACAAAAGGTGTGATATCACCTAAAAACTTACCTTTTT